TCTCTCTCTCTCTCTCTCTCTCTCTCTCTCTCTCTCTCTCTCTCTCTCTCTCTCTCTCTCTCTCTCTCTCTCTCTCTCTCTCTCTCTCTGATTTCCTGATCAGCTGCGGCGCAATTGTGCAGCAGAAGTGTAAGAAAACAAACATTTTGTGACGCTATTTCCTTTCTGACATTCTGGCAATAACGGATCAGGCCATACAAGGATTTTGATCGACGTACGGTAACTACGGTCAAAGCCAGGTTCAGTACGCAGAAAATTACTCCCACCAATGGGAATGGGAGAACGCAGGTTCAGTATGCAGATCATCACCGGCAAGGCTGTCACAGCTTTGCCGCTTACTTGAATCATCCTGAGGTCGGGCGGCGATGGCGGTAAGCGGGGCGCGGGGCGATCCTGTGAGCGGGGATGGTTTTGATCCTGCTTCAGCTTCCTCTCTTGTTAATCACAAGCGGTTTGAATCATCCTCCTCTCTTGGTTTACACTTTACTCTTGATTTTGTGATAATCACACGTGATAACAACACAGAACGAGAGGGCAAAAAAAAAGTCCCTCGCAAAAGGCACGACCCGTCAGCAAACATTGTCAAGCAATGTTGATAAGGAGATCCGCCGCGATGCTCCTTCGTCAGCAAACATTGTCAAGCAAAGGACGTTAAAGGGCTTTTCTTTTTTCCTTTTCTTTTTTTTTGGAAGTGCTGGGCCTTCACACGTCCGCGAAGTAATCACTGCCTCCATCGAACTGCGCAAGCAATGCTCCTTATCTAAAGGATCCTACGTGGCATGTTTTGGTATTGACGTCAATACCAAACATGCCGCGTACGTCAATACCAAAACATGCCAGGTAGGATCGTTTGGATAAAGAGCATTGCTTGCGCAGTCAATATCAAAACACGCCACGTAGGATCCTTTAGATAAGGAGCATTGCTTGCGCAGTTGGAAGGAGGCAGTGATTACAGCAAAGATGGAACAGAATAGGTGGGGAGCTGTCTCTTATACACATCTAGATGTGTATAAGAGACAGGGGGAAGACGGTAGTAAGGCGGTTCGGAGTATTTTAGCACTTCTTTTTCTTTTTCTAATGAAGATTATTGTCATTGATAAACTCATTATTTATT